GAGGCGAATAGACAATGTGTTAGTTTCTATACAGTGTGACTCACATATCTTTGAATCACCCTGAAATATATAATAAACTGTATGTTATGATTGAATAATCCAAGGTTATGCGTCTGTATCCAGGAGTAGACTTTTTTTAACACTGGATTTGCCAACCGATTGTATATACAACCCCATCGAGAACTTCAGAGTCACAACGATTGTGTAGTCAAATCAAACTTCGACATCAATAAGTACCTAACTCTCATTTCGTTTTTTGATAGATGCAGTGGCGTGTCATGAGTTTTATATCTTGAGAAGCTGAGACAACTGACAAAAACTGTGTCGCATGCAAACTTTTTCAATATTTCGAACTCAAGTCGTTTTAGAGCACATGTTTATAGGTAGTTATACTATTATATCATGGAGTTCTATCAATTTCTCGAGTCTTGGTCATTAAAATTGTTCCATCCTGTAGGTTTATAACTGTCTGCCATGGTGTTGTCCTCCACATTTTGGTCTGCCATTCAGCATGCAAAACAAGTTGATATATGATCAATACGTACACCTAATTTCAAGACTTTATCTTATCACGTTGATTTTTCGATTTTGTTCGCAACTTCGAAGCGGTCTGCCGGCAATTGAGCCCCCGGAAAACGGTCTGCCAATTATCAAACTATCTTTCTGACGTTACATACACATAAATTTCATGACTGTACTAATGACGTCGATTAGGTACCTTCGAAACTCTGCAACTTCCATCGCTCGCCCCCACATAAGTCCCCCAGACCATTGTCGATCTAAATGAAACCCTAGTAGGCGACCTAGTGCGAGGAGGTATATATATTATAGCTCCTGCCTACTAACTACCTAACTAGGTTGTCATCTAGAACGACAATGCCCAGACCGACCAGGCAGACTCGCGCCTTAGTGTTCCACATCATAAATGGAACCATTCCAGAAGAAAATTGTGACTGTACCGAGCCACGTTAAAACTCATGAAGCTCTTGAACTATATCTGAAGGTACGTCGAACAATTCATTAATTCTGGAGGTTAGGTCAACATTTATACTTTTGAATAGAAGAATATCATTATGATACAATCACATACATCAATAATGACAAAAATCATTATACTTTACGATGTTTCAGATATAGTACATTCAGCAGTAGGTACTTACTAAACAGGCTTATGAAAAAATAACTATAGGAACCAGAAAGCTAGAACAGATGGACTAATTGGAAACAACTTCGTAAAAAACCTCAATATTCATCTACTCAAGACTCAGACTGTTTTGATATAGATAAAGGTGATTATGTGATGGAGACTGAAAATATATCATAGATCTTGGTGAATTTTTTGATTTATCATGTCTGTGTCATCTATGTAGAAGAAAGTTGTGCAGTTGTATGGTGAACATATTTGTTCAAAGAGAGAGATGCCTGAACAGATATTCAAATATATTGTAATATAAGTAGATACCTATACTCACCTCTTATTGGGTTATCATGAAAAACACACAAGAATCAATCAACAAAAATGATACTCGAATTTTTTTTATCTAGTTCTCGGAAACCCAATGATATTGTGAGTACCTACCTAAAAACAAATCAGTTGAAGAAGATTGGCCATGCATTCAAAAGTACCTGTATAGGTAACTACTCCACAGGCTGAATAAATAATCCATAGTTACTTTCTGAAAAGCTAATGACAGTTGATTTCGGATTCTATCATCATGATAAATGAATGAAGTGTATAAGTATTTTGATAAAATATTATTTTATGATGAGAATAATTCTGTTATACTTTTACTCAATGATTTGGAACTCCTATTCTCATAGAGTTTTTCCTGATACTTTCTCAAATTTCAGCAATTAGTTTAACTCATCAAAGTATATGAGGAAGAAATAGTACAAAACTGTTTTGTTCCTATATTTTGATGATTACTAAGGAAACGCCTAGTGAAAATATGTGTACCAGATATTACCACAAAGACATGGGACAATGACGTGAAAATAGTTGTAACAGTTTAATCATGAAAGTAGTGAAAAGTTTTGAATCAATTACGTCTACAAAAGGAACGTTTGAATGCCTTCCTCCAGTTGAAATAATAGTTACGTTGATGTGATGATAATTGAAACATAAATGGTAGCTTAATACGATGAATTTCGTGTAACGTGAAATGTTGAAGGACATTCAACGTTACTGGGAGGAACTATATACCCCATTGTGTTATATACCATATCGTAACATGTTATGAAGGTTACAAGAATGTGATGAAACTGACATGTGGGAAGTATTCGAAATTTTTCGTGAATAACACCCTGTATCTTCGATTTGAACGAAATTGGGCTAGTTGGGAAGAGCTATTTCCTGGGTGACAAATGTTAGTATCACATGTCGCCGCTAGAGAAATTATTTCGACATTCCGGCAGAAATGGTTGATTTTCTCAAACAAATCAAATACATTGGAATGATTTTTTTGTCATGGTAGAGTTGCTAACCTAAAATTCAGTCCAAAGAGAATTTTGAAGTTTCAATTTTGCAAACGAATAATTTTTTCATCACCTAAGTTTTCCTCTAATCAGGTAAGACTTGAGAAATCAACAATTTTTTTGATATATAATACAAAAATTATTATGATAAAAAAATAAAAGATATCGAGTTGCGGTTTTCACGAGCTTGTTAAGGCGTCATTCAGCAACTCTTTAATCAGAAGAAAATCCTACTAATGCATTCGATTTGTTTAAGGAAATCAACCATTTCTATATATATCACACATAAGGACCACCTTTCTCATATATTTCAAAACTGGTTTGAGTATGCGGAGACATGAGGCCCCGTCGTAAATCAGTTTCTTTCAAGGGTTTATTGCCTAATCAATATAGACACAATGTAAAGCTCAAGAATAGTTTTTTTCAACTAGCCCAATGTTGTTGAAATCGGTTCAGCCGTTTCGAAGATACATCGTATTTTTTGAAGAAAATTTCCGAATACACCTCGCCCACATTATTTTTACAGACACAGCAAAATTTTTCGAACAAAAACTGTTCAGATAATCGTCGACTTTTAGGATCAGGTATTTTCTTGTTAGGTTAATGTAGCGGAATTCATATTTCATATAGAGGTATTGACTTCATGGAAAAAAACAACAAATGCCTCGATAAAGAATTTTGGGCGTTGAAAGGTTAAAATAGTGACTCAGAATGCTGCATTAGCTTATTCTGTTCCATCCTTCCAGTTAGTGCCCCAGGAACGCCGGCTGAGCACCACAGCGTCCAGGACGATGGCCGCCATGTCTCTAGGCTTCATCGTGCTGGTGACCCCGTGGACCATCCAGGAGGTTGTGGCTGCGTGCACGGGCTCTAGAGCGCCTCCGCCTCTCGATTTCCTGGCCACGTGGCTGGCGCTCAGCAACAGCTTCTGGAACCCCTTTCTGTACTGGCTGCTCAACAACCACTTCAGGAGGATCAGCAGGGAGCTGCTGTTCAGCAGGGTGAGTGCAGACCGATCGCACTGTTATCTATTATTTCAAAGATCATGGGGAAAGCTATCAACATCGAGCTCATGAAATACCTGGAACATTCAGGTATTATCAACGATAGGCAATATGACTTCCGGCATCAGAGATCAGGTGGTGACCTGCTCGCTTACGTCTCACATATATGGCGGCAATCTATTGAAAAATATGGTGAAACCTTATTTTTGGCACATGATATCTTCAAGGCATTCGATCGAGTCTGGCACCACGGACTCCTTGCCAAGCTTCCATCTTATTGCTTGCCTCCCCAGCTATGTTCTCTGCTAGCTAGTTTTCTCTCAAACATGTCTCTCCATCTCTCCATGTAGTGGTCGACGGAGTTTCATCTGACTCTCTCATTATAAATGCTGGTGTTCCGCAAGGATCAATTCTAGCAACAACACTATTTCTACTCCATATCAACGATTTGTTGGGAGCAACTTCATATCCAGTACACAGCTTCGAGGATGATAGTACCCACCATACCGCCTCCTCTTCCAGGGCTCCAATACCATCCAGGGCAAACAAAAACGAACGAGGAAGAAATGTTGACAACATAAATATGGACTAGGCAACAATTCTCAAATGAGGATCCAATAACTTGGTAGATTTCAATGCAAACAAAACACAAGCATGCTTTTTCTCTAGAAAAGCCGATCTCACTGTGCCCAACCTAAGCTTGTCAGGAGTAACCATCCATTTCGATGCTTGGTATTACTATCCTTTCTTGGGAAAATCACGTGAGATCATTTGCTAAAAGTACATCCCAAAAACTTGGTTTTCTCTTTCGGGCCAGGAGCTATTTGACTTCCAGTCAGCTGCTTATGATCTGTAAGGCACAGATTCGACCTGTCCTGGAATACTGTCCCCATATTTGGATTGCAGCACCCAAACATACCCTGAAACTGTTAGATTTTGTCCAAAAAAGGGTAATTCGTCTCGTGGGTGATGCCTCGCTCACAAACTCATTCACTTCACTGGAACACCGTAGAAAAATTGACGATCTGGCTCCCTTTCATAGATATTTTCATGGACGATGCTCTTCTGATATATCAACGATTGTTCCTCCCTTGGCAGTTCCCGCGAGATTAACCCGTCGAGTTGAGTCTTCGCACCCCTTCGTGGTCACTTTGGAAACCTGCAGAACATCTCTCTCCAAAGACTCATCCATCCAACTAACAGCGAGGCTCTGGAACACATTGCCAAGGAAGGTGTTCCCCGAGGCATATAACCTCCAAAAATTCAAGAAGAACACCAATTCCTACCTTATTTCCCTTGGTTCTCACGATGTTCTCTGAACATCACAGAATATCCCTCTTCGTGGGAACCAGAACATAAAAAAGGGCGAGTGTACTCAGTAACTGACAACAATTATTCAAATATACTGCTAACATTAGATGATTATTTTTTGAAAAAAAAAACAACCATCACTTATTCTATCGTTTAACTGGTATAATACATATTGTTGATAGACACCATTTATTCGTTTTTTGTTCCTAGTTTTTCTGCCAGAAAAAACAAGATCAGAAAGAGCACCAGCAGTCCCACCAAAACTTCCAACACCAGCCACACTGCTGCAGCAACATCATCCCAGACCCAATGGTAACCTGTCATAACCACGCCCCGGGCTGCGACCTTGAAGGCCTATCGGAGAAGTACTGGGGAGAGATCCTGGAACGCACTCTTTCCTCTAATTCCCTCCACGCCCTCCAAAGAGCATATTCTCACACCAGGATGGATTCCTGCAACGGCTTACAGCAGCACGAGATGAGAACATTCGATACTGCCGCGCCGGATTTATGACAGTTGGACAAGACCACGCAGACCTTCGATTTGATGTCTAGTGAGAGCATGGGCAGCTCCAACGAAACAGCTATCATATCGAAGTGATTTTGGTGGTCCAGTCACATCATTCATTGATCGACAGACATGAATATCGAGATGAATTCACGGAGATAATCAGTGGTTGTGTTCATCGAAATTGTGATCGTAAAAACTGAACTTGAGTTTGAGCAAGTCCTCTTGGAGCATGCGCAATAGGAACATTGAATGCAATAAAATAATATCTATACTCCGACTTGGAAACATAATGATGATGATCTTTATTATGTAAAAACTTCACAAACGATAAGATTTCCACAAAATTCTCAAACACACGACATGATTCGCTAACAAAGTAGCTTCGTCAGGTGATATACTGGTACAATGAACTAAACTAACGTTGGCTTGCTTAACTTTTATATATCCTACTTTCCCAACCTGTAGGAAATGTTATCGTTTGTGAAGTTTTTATATTTGCCATGAATTTCCATCAAATAACGCCGAGTCAATAAAAGATCTTTATTATGCTGTATATAATTATGTTTGTTCATAGACAGAATCTTTTTTGGAATGTGAAATGACAATGGTTTATATAGGCCATAGGGAAAACTGTCACCATATTTATGAACTGTATATTTAGGAATCATTATCGTGTGATAACGTAAGTAAGTAGGTATATACAGACCACCCTTATTGATGTCATGCGTGAATTGGGTCAACCTTTATCAATAAATTGATTTCGTTGAAGCTCACTGGTTGACGGGATCACTCAATGATGATGTTCAACATCACGAAACCAATGAAACCATCGATGTTTTGCCTTTCGAAGGTTTCTGCTTCAACTGACTATAATCTATGACATATAATGAAAAAGTTCTATCAATAACCTTCCTATCAGCAAATTCGGGATTTTTGTTGTTGTGTTCCTTTCAGAAGAACATTTCAATAGGGAAATCGAAATGATGAAACGAATTGCAGTCAACGTTGTTTCGGCTGATGGGTACTTATTTGTGAGATGTATCTCAAACTTATCAAAGACACTGCATTGGTATCCACATGAGACTCATTCTGGTTTATGACTGGTCGAAGTACATGTGAGCAAGTGGTCGCACACTCCTGGTAACGTATTGACACTATGATTTGATAACTTTTTGGAAATTGCGTATAGCCCTTGTCATCCGATTTTTCAACTGAATGTATCGAGCTATATCAGAGTTTTCAATGTTTATGGACGATGAGAAGTACGGAATATGCTGAGAGAATTTAAGATAACTGGATTATATTCGGTGATTCCTTTCCAGGCATCGAGATAGTTCAATTCTCTTTGGCAAGTACCATTTTTCAGACCAAATAGTTTCCTGCTGGACTCTTTATTTCGATCATTAAATAGTATCGAACATGCTACTTTTCTTTATAAACGCAATGAACACATTGCGAAACGAGATCCACAAAAATGAAAACCTGGAAGAAATAAAGGAATGGAATGTGCGTGTAGTTTGACATTTATCTTCGCTCCGGGAGTGACACACAGAAAGCGCACGCCAGAAATCTGGAAAAACTGCACGTGAAGGGCCGTTTAAGGGGTGATTTTCTTGCACTACGTTGATTTCCTTGTAATTCAGATTATCAGGCAGTTATTACCACGACAAGGTAAAGAAGTTCATGTTCCAGAATTACCTTTGAAAGTCGATCTCTTGTTTTCTTTTATGTAGAGGCGTGCTGGTCTCTGGTTCATTGTTGTGGCAGGAAATGAGAGATGAGTGTTTGGTTCACCGATGTATTTCTGGAAGGAGGTAGTAGGCAATGTGATTATGAACATATTTTACTATATATACTATTATACGAAGTGTTACGTTTTTAAAATTCTAATGAGCCAAAACATTTTCTTATCCCGTTCAAATTTCATTATAATTTGGATGAATCCCAATAATCAAATTCGAAAGAAACGATGATATTTCAGGAAGCACTTTGTTTAATAGTTAGCATACAGGGTGTTTCCAGAATAGAAGCGATCTTTGAAATGGTTAAAAGAGACGCAAAACATATGTTTGCGAAATAAAAATTACTTTGGAAGATATTGAATTTTGAAGTTCAGGCCCAAAGTGACCCAACTTTTGAGGAACACTGATCAGCTGCGACACACGGCTAGTTCCGACTAGCTAGACTGAAACATTCTGTATATGAATAATCATGTTCAAGATGTTATCAACTATCAGTCCCATTCAGCAATACGTCGATGAATCGAACACTCCATAGAACCCGAAACGTTAGGAATATTTATCAGGAATGATGGGAGAGACAGAACTTCTGGAACAGGATTATACTAATTGAGGTATATCGTCAGGAAAATGTTGAACAAACAAGTAGGTATTTCATTTAGCCACAGCATTCACGGACATCTATGAGATTGCGTATAGCCCTTGTCATTCGATTTTTCAACTGAATGTATCGAGCTAGATCAGAGTTTTCAATGTTCATGGACGATGAGAAGTACGGAATATGCTGAGAGAATTTAAGATAACTGGATTATGGTAAAGAAGTTCATGTTCCAGAATTACCTTTGAAAGTCGATCTCTTGTTTTCTTTTATGTAGAGGCGTGCTGGTCTCTGGTTCATTGTTGTGGCAGGAAATGAGAGATGAGTGTTTGGTTCACCGATGTATTTCTGGAAGGAGGTAGTAGGCAATGTGATTATGAACATATTTTACTATATATACTATTATACGAAGTGTTACGTTTTTAAAATTCTAATGAGCCAAAACATTTTCTTATCCCGTTCAAATGTCATTATAATTTGGATGAATCCCAATAATCAAATTCGAAAGAAACGATGATATTTCAGGAAGCACTTTGTTCAATAGTTAGCATACAGGGTGTTTCCAGAATAAAAGCGATCCTTGAAATGGTTGAAAGAGGCGCAAAACATATGTTTGCGAAATAAAAATTACTTTGGTTAAGATATTGAATTTTGAAGTTCAGGCCCAAAGTGACCCAACTTTTGAGGAACACTGATCAGCTTCGACACACGGCTAGTTCCGACTAGCTAGACTGAAACATTCTGTATATAAATAATCATGTTCAAGATGTTATCAACTATCAGTCCCATTCAGCAATACGTCGATGAATCGAACACTCCATAGAACCCGAAACGTTAGGAATATTTATCAGGAATGATGGGAGAGACAGAACTTCTGGAACAGGATTATACTAATTGAGGTATATCGTCAGGAAAATGTTGAACAAACAAGTAGGTATTTCATTTAGCCACAGCATTCACGGACATCAATGAGATTGTGACTACTCAAGGTATCTAATGGTGAAGTTTCATAGAGTGACAATGAAATGAATTCATATAAATTAAATAGACCACTTCTTCCGCTCAAAAATATACTTTGTAGAAAATCTGACATCACTTCCTTCAAAATGCCCGTGCAATATGGTACAATAACGTGGATTCCAATCTTATATAATGGTCCTGGAGTAGCGTACTCGACTCTCTACCATTTTCTGTTCAATTTTCTTGATAGAATTCTTAGTTGATTGAACGATCTGATATTGTGAAAATATTTGTTGGAATTGATCGAATTTATGAGAATAATATGTGAAATCATCCAGAATTCAACACGATGTAAACCGAATTCTGGTAGAAAATGCTCAGAAATAAAAAAAATCCAACTAATCACTTGGAATCATGAGAGATCAACAAGCTCAATGATATTATATACTGATGATATCCTACTTGACGACTATCTAGACCTCAATCCGACGTTGTCTTGGGCTTTTATGAACAGCAGCGTGAAATATGATCATCTTGCCTTGCATGGTCTATAATAGCAAATTAGCCTGAAATACATATATCATTTTACTGATGATATATGGAATTTATTAATGATCTTGAATTCAATGAATCAAATCATTGATGCCACTGGCCAAAAATAATCAAATGGTGATCTAGTAAAAAGCACTTGAACAAAAATGAAATTACTCGACCGCTTTTTCACCTACTCGACAATATGGTCCGAGAATTTTGTGAAAATCATCATTGGAGGCCTTTGATTTACTCAACTCATGTGACGAAACCATCAGGATTTTAATGGAATCAGGATCGTCATTTTGTGACTTCTTGATATACCTGTATCGAATTACTTTGGAATCGATTCTAAGCGTCAGTCATACCTGAATAATATGATAGACAGTATTTTATTCAAATAATCGAAGTCAGTCGGATGTGTTCTATTATTTCAATTCTGAAACACATATTGATAGCTATCGGATAATCGAATGGAATCAAGATCGTCATTTTGTGTCTTTTTGATATCCTTGTATCGAATTACTTTGGAATCGATTCTAAGCGTCAGGCATGCCTAAAGAATATGAAAAATCTTTCACATTTACTCTGTCCAGAATAATGTAGGATGTCAATGAGGACCTGTTTCTGAAAATGTCATTTTTCTGCAACCGACACAAAAGTCGTCCATTTTGATACCAAAATTAGCTCTTAAATTGACGTTTCTATTACTGACACAAAAGTAGGTATGTTGCTAGGCAACATATTTAGTTCCTAGGAGCTAAAGTTGAATTTTAGTTCCTAGGAGCCAAAGTTGAACTTTAGCTCCTAGGAACTAAAAAGGATGTACTAGACGTCATCAAGAATAAACAACATTGTAACGGTTGGTTATTTGGGTTGAGACGCATACCTGATTTGTTTCCGATTTCAGCAGATTTGGCATTTCATACCCATGCTGGAGATATAAATACACCTTATTAAAGTTAAGTATTGGAATTATAAACATCTCAGCTAAGTATTTTTGTTTTGATCAGGGAAGCCTTTTCAAGATTCAAATACTTGCTTTATCTGTATTTCATTCGTTATTCTCGGGATGGATAACTTGGTTTTGAATAATCACGGCAAGCAATAGTTTTTTTGTCTCGAACAACGATATTATTGTTTAGCTTCATTTGATTATCAAGTCAAACACAGTG